CCACCTCTTCCGCTCCCCCCTTCGCCCTCCGCGCCTGCACACCAGTGCGTAGGCAACCCATCGAGCTGCCGCGTATTCTTCCGGACACCCGGTAGTTCTGGAGGGTGTATACAGACTTGTTTTTGAGTGAGGTACCTCTCGGTCCAGGCCGGCCGAGCCCACCTTCTCAGCCTTAGGTCCCGCCACTAGCCACTGCCCCCCCCCCCCTCTCTCTCTCTCTCTCCGCTCGGACGCCGCCGGCTCCACCAATGGCGATGGATGGGCTCCCGGCATGGGCCGGTCAAGGCCGATATTTAGCCATGTATCACCAGGAGAATGCGGGGGCGGGCGCCACCAGGCTCAGCGGCAGCCCGAGGGGAGCAGGGAGTCGCCACTTTATTGCTAGAGTGGCCGGGGCCGGGTGGCCCGTCGGCCCTGCGGCTCGCGCCCTGCACAAACTGCAGCAGGGGGCCGGGCGGGGGATGACCACCAAATAACCATTGGCACTGTCCCAATGACACGTTGCGCCCTTACTTTTTAAGTTGCTGCTAGAAGGTATAAGAAAAGAGAATGGGACTATAACTGACATGTAAATCTTTTCTCAGTATAAAAATATAATAAGAATAATAATAAAATACAAGCTGGAGGGTTCATTCAAGTTCCATACACAACTGGACACTCAAAGAAAGTAGAGACACCAAAAATAAATCATACAGTCAGTATAACAACATTTGGGATAAATGGAATTTCACTACAAAAACAAAACATATAAAGTCAGTAGATTTCTTGTTTGTGTTCACATTTTACATTCGGATTTGGAAGCGACCAGCTTTTGTTATGTACTTGACCCCCTTAAATGGTTTGTATTTCTCTCCATACATATCAAGACGATTGACCCGCAAACCAGACACAGCCATTTGGTTTATTGTGAAGTGAACCTGAAATCAATAGTTCATCATATAAATACACAAGGCTTATAGAAAAGCTATTATAAAATATATAAATCACAAAAAATGGCTGTACTAACATTGATTGCTGGATTAGACTCTACAGGGGGTGCTCCGGATTGCAGGTTGATCTGAAAGTAATACTTTGTTTTTTAATTCGTAACGTAGAAGCCTAGAAACTTGAAAGTTATTTTACTTACTGTTCCACGAATATTAGGTAGCTTGGTAGTATCAATACGCCCAACATCCCACACAAGAGTTCGGCTAACTGGGTCAAAAGAATATTTTCCCTGAGATGGTGTCAAACTACAGTTCAACACTGCTTTTGGCATGGGAATTTCCAATACAACATTTTCAACCTAAGGATTTAGAATTTAATCACAGAAAATCCTTTAATTCTTGATATTTGAAAAATATATTGATTTTGCTCAAGCCAGAAAGTTACATACCGTGCGTCCTACTGTCTGCTTGGGTCCAACTGTTATATCCAAGCGTCCTCCGCCAGCTTCTCGGAAATTTATGCTGTGCCTCACATACACAGGTATAGCAACAACACTTTGGGATCCGATGTGGTATGACATGAGCCTAAAATTACCATCAGGTGGTATAAATGAGAGCAAACGTTCAGACTGCAAAAGTAATTCAGTTAGATTTAAAACTCAGGAGGATAGAAAAGAAACAAACAAAACACAAAGTGGAATGAAATGCTCACCTCCCAACGCTTAAATCTAACACAAGGATGAAAGCTAACGTCATCAAATAAAGCAGCATTCATGAAAGATAATGTGAGATCCGGCATACCACTTAGTTTGATGCAGCAATCAATCTGTAAATACAAACAATCCAAACTAAAAGACATACCGGCACTAAACAATAACATGAAATTTATGATGAGACACTAACATATCCCTGAATTTCTGCAAAGACAGTTGATCCAGACTTGTCAATAATTGCATCAACCTCTTCAACTATGTCGAAATATGCTTCATTGTTTGTGTACTTCACTCCAGTTCTTCTCCATGGTATATTTGATAGCTGACCACTAGGCAGGATAGAACTGACACTGAAATATAAGAAAACATAATTTTTAATGAGGGGCTCATAAATTTTGATACCAAAGTGCAAAAAAGATCAAACTTAAGGTGGATCTCTAATGGAGAAATCTATGCTACCCATCACCGGTTACCCATCAAAAAAGATCAAACTTAAGGTGGATCTCTAATGGAGAAATCTATGCTACCCATCACCGGTTACCCATCA